AGGAAAGAAATTTTTAAAAAATTGTTTTTAAGTTTCTTTATACTGAGAGAGAGACAGAGAGAGCAAGTGGGGGAGGGGCAGAGAGAGAGGGAGAAAGAGAATCCCAAGCAGGCTTTGCACTGTCAGCCCAGAGCCTGATGCGGGGCTTGAACTGGGAGATCATGACTTGAGCTGAAATCAAGAGTCTGATACTTAGCCAACGGAGCCACCCAGGTACCCTAAGCAGAACAATTTTAAATATCAATATATACTATATTAAAAAAAATTACATCATTTGCAGCTATTTAAACAAAACTTTTATATATCAACTTAAAAATGTAGTAACCACTATAGTTGTTTTCTATTTTCTCCTTTTTACTGTATTTGTTTTCAACTTTTATCCCTTTTATGAGAATGCAAGTAATTGAGGATATGGACCTTTTTTTCCAAGTTTTGTGTCTTTCACAAAATTTTAACAAAGTGTCTTATTCATAGTGAGAGCTCAACTAAATATTTACTGAATAAAATTATTTTATTTTATCAAAGGGAGTTATTTATTTCTCTTCAATTATTTTTACCTGGCCTTCAGGTTAGTTTTTCCTACCAATGATAATAGAAACAATTGCCTGGCGGAAATAAAATTTGGATTTGAAAAGTAACTCACAGGGGTGCCTGGGTGGCTCAGCCGGTTGAGTGTCCGAGTGTCCGACTCTTGATTTCAGGTTGGGTCAGGGTCCCAGTGTTGTGGGATTGAGCCCTGCATCGGACTCCATGATGAGTATGGACCTACTTAAGATTCTCTCTCTTTCTCTCTCTCTCTCTCTCTCTCTCTCTGCCTCCACCCCAGCTTGTGTGCTCTCTAAAAAACTAAAATAAAAAAATAAATAAATGAAAAAAAGTAACTCACATATTATCTTTAAAATGAGAATAGGAACAATATTGTGAGAAGGAAACAGGATATACAGAAAAACCAATTTTTATTTTCTTAAATGTAGTTATTTTTAATATAAAAGGAAGCAACACTAAGCGTTCAGAAATGTATTCATTGACATAAAACTTTAGTGGATATATACCCCTAACTACAACAAGTCTCTTTTCACTATGATTCTTTCTAATGTGCACCAAATTAGAAAGCAGTAAAAACACCAGCAGATGGCTGGAGTGGTCATGGATAGAATTATAAAGAAAAATATATATTCTTTTATCCTTTACTCAACACCTCTGCTTAGGACACCCATAAACACAAGATATCGCCTAATGTTGCCTTATTTCCTGCATGTGTTTGTTTTAATAAGCTAGCCAGAAGTAGCTTATGCACACACACGGGTTTACGTGTACATTCAACACTTTTGCAATTTTTGAGGTTTACTAAGAAGGTTTGGTCTTGTCCTGTGATTATAATCTTGTTGAATTACATTTAAATAGACAGCATTTTACTGTGTACTTGGTATTATCCAAGACATAATATTACAGTGACCTCTTAAAAAATAACATAACTTAGGCAAAATCAAACTTTAAAAATACAATAAAAACTCATAACCAACTTAGAAATGATGTTTGGGTTTAGGAATTAGAATAGCCTAATATCTCCCCTAATTTTTACCATTCCCCTGTCATTGTAAGATTGTTGCTTGAAGTAAGAAAATATTATCTTGAATTTATAAAATTTCTTATATTCAAAAGATACATTTGGGGGAAAACTTTAAAAAAAGAAAGGAAAAATTTGGAACTATCTTGTATACGACAAACTTTTATCTTAGCAGTATCTTTATGAATACTAATTCTAGGTAACATTTATTGAGCACCTCCTGTGTAGCAGGAACTCTACTACAACGCTCACAGCTCTCTGAGGTAGGTAATACTGCTGTGCCCATTTTACCACAGAAGCCTCCACGTCAAGGTTCATGCATGGCGAAAGGCACAGATGGGAATATTCATACCCTGGTCTTCCCGAACTGCTTATTAGACTGTGAGCTCCTGGAGGAGGAGGCGGGCAGTGTCTTAGTGTATCTCAGCCCCATCACAGTGTTGACTGCATAGAGGAGAAAGTTAGAGAAGTCCCTTTCACTGAGGTGATGGCAGTGGGCAATAGCTAGGTGAGTGGCTAGACCAAGAATTGCAATCATGCTTCTAACAGGCTAAGAGAAAAGTCACATTTGTTAGGACGTTAGGGTATGAAAACACTTCCACAAACGTCATAGACTACTATGAAAATTAAATGTTCAAACTCATAGCTAATTCCCTTGGATTCTATCTAGTTAATCAGGGCCAATTTTAGTATTTGTTATGAGGTATCCCATTGAAGACCTAGGAGTTTCTATTATGTGAAGCTAGTTCCTTTGTCCAGCTACAACGCTTTTACTGCTGATTACTTGACATTAAGGTTTCTTTTCAACACACTTGTATCTCTGCAAGGAAAAAAATAAGGAAGGGAAACATTGTAAATTACTTCAGTTTCTCTGAGGCAGAAAACTTCAGGCTCTGAATTTCTGGTGTTTATGAGTCAGTTGAAATAACCAATTAGAAGTTAAAAGTGATCTTTTGAGTTCTTCATTTAAACTTAACTTTTCTTAGTAAATGAGATCAGGAATAGCAATTTGATTAAATCACACTCATCACCTAGAAAAATGTTAAATTTCTTTATCAGTGTAACTTTGGGCTTCTCAAAGACCACCAACAAGAGGACAGACAAGAGCCACACAAGAGCCATTCCCCTGATCCTGCCCTGTTCAGAGTCCCCATATTTTTACCTAGATTCACAAGTTAGTACAAAAATCTTCTGAAATATTTAAGCTCTCTTTAACTGTATCCTGAAGTCTGAAGTAAAAATAATTTATTCCAAATTGGTCCAAAGGGAATAAAAAGCAAAGTGAAAAGAAATAATTTTATGTTGTTTGGACTGCCAAATTATGTAAAAAGTAAACAACTTAGGGAAAAAAACCAAAACCAAAAAACTAGTGTTCTGCATTTTTTTCCCTCCACTCATAAAAAGTACTTTAAAAAAGTGCCTTTCTTTTAAGCACATTAAAGCAAACGTTGAAAGGATTGACTCAGTACTCCACTTTGTGGGGAAAACAGCCTGGAGATATTTTAGCTGCCTGCTAAGCCTTTGGTATCCATCAGAACTGTATTTCCATAGTTGTAAAACTGACTGTAAGTGAAAGTCTGTTTAATCATCTGTGTATTTCCAATTTGCCTACATAGGTAAAAGCACTTAGGACAGTGCCTGGCACATAGATAGTACATAGTAAATGTTAGCAATAGCAACAGAATAGCTGAGATAGCATCCATAGATTGCCATGACAAAGAAGAAACATCAAAAGGGATGATCATCTAACCAGAAATGTAAATAGGGATTTTGATGAAGTCTGAAACTGAACATTCAGGAAGTTTCAGAAGCCCCCATTGAGGAATCCTCCAACCTCCTCTTTCACCTTGTCTTGAAACATAATTCAGAAAATCCTTTTTAACAAACAGAGCAAACCTTTATTTCAAATTTCCCTTAGGCTGCTGTAACTTATTTAGCATTTGAGGAGATACAAAAATGCCCAACTTAATCACTATTTGGATGTATTTTATAAAAACACAGCTCAGAAAACCAGGCTGTGTTCAATATTAAAAGCAAACCAAAATATAGCTCCAAGGATTGAACCAGCAAAGAATTAACATAGTTTATAATAGTTAGTAATATTAACTGATAACCCAGGCTACATGACCAATAAACTCTTTTCAAGTGTTTAATCTTACAAAATGAAGCCAAGGAACTAATGTTTTTCCCTGAGTTCTGAAAGATTTGGTAAGCCTACCAAAAATAAAAGTTTTTCTTTATGCACATATCTTAATATATTCACAAACCATTCCACATGAAAATACAAAATAAAACATTAAACAATATAAATTCAATACGCAAGAAAAAAAGCTGAGTGGGAGAAAAGGAAAGGTTATCAATTTTAACACGGACCTTATTGCCACTAGCCAAATCTTTAGTATGAGGTCCATAGGTAAGAAAATTCCAACATAATCATATGCAAATATGTAAATTAGTTGCATCTTCAGGTTTCTAGCTACACGCTTAATGAAGCATTAACGTGATATATTGAAACAGCTTTCATTTCAGGAGAACCTTGTTATAAAAAACAGAACTGGGGGAATACCTGAGTGGCTAAGTCAGTTAAGCATCGGACTCTTGATTTTGGCTCACGTCACAATTTCACAGTTGTGAGATTGAGCCCCACGCTGGGCTCTGTGCTGAGTGCGGAGCCTGCTTAAGATTCTCTCTTTCTTCCCCTCCCCAGCACCCCCTCTTAAAAAAAAAAAGAGTAGAGCTAGCAACATTAGAATGTACTTGCCCTTTGGGAGAGCAAAATGAGCTAGACTTTTGGTTTACTTAATTACAGAGTCTTACTATCAAAAATAGATGCTCTAACTTAAAAAAAAAATACTTTTTTTGGTAATATTTGATGACATTACTGAGAAGAACACAGAAACGTTCTCTAAAAAAGAAAACAATCCTTCAAGATGTAGATATAACATTCTCAAAGAACTGTCATTTGAAAACACACAACCTCCTTTCTATTCCTTTTCATGTCCCAAATCAGATAATCTTTACACAGTCTCTGAGGCTCCAAGGAATTCCATTTCCACGGCGGCTTTGGGCGCTTGGGCTGAGCCACTCTTCTTTCGGAATTCTGCCGCGATTTCCTCAAAGGACTTTCCTTTGGTTTCCGGAACTTTGAAAAATGTAAACAGAGTAAAGGCCAGGACCACTCCAGCGAAGAGGAAAAACACATAAGGTCCACAGAACTTCTGCACAGAGAACAAATAGAGTTCCAATTAGCCGTCGTTCTACTCCACTGTTCAGCAAATCTGCACAATATTAGGCTGCTTACCGCAATGTACTGGAAACACAGAGCTACAATGAAATTGCAGGTCCAGTTGCTGAATGCAGCTATTGCTAAAGCAGCAGGCCGCGGTCCTTGACTAAAGAACTCCGCCACCATGAACCAGGGGATGGGGCCTGGCCCAATTTCAAAGAAACTGACAAAGAGGAAGATGGCTACCATGCTCACGTAACTCATCCAAGCCAATTTATTCTGAGGAATAAACAAAAAGAGTGGAACTGGGATTATTGGCAGCTTCTTCCTTTAAGTAGGCTCTCATCGAGTTCAGAGGTGACATAGCTCTCTTCTAGATATGTTTATGTGCAAATAACTACAAATTATTCTAGTCTGACACAAGTTTATTCTAGTCTGAGTCGTGCTTAAATCTTTTGAACTCTGTTATAGGAAATCCTCGGGATTAGGACTCTATATGACTCTCAGTCACTCTTTTCCTGTGAAAGAGGCAAGGCAAGAATCTATTGACCTTCGCTCCTATTCATATCAATGTTGCCAGATGGAGTGCATTACCCTCCATGAAGTGGTGGATGAGTGTGCTAGGTTGGAGAGGTCCTGGGACTTGCCCTAGGTCACACAGGTAGCCAAGTGGCAGAGCCAGTGTTAGAACCTGATTGGGGCTGACCCCAGAGACTATGCTCTGACCATTTTGTGACACTGCCTCCCTTGGTAACAAGTGCAATAATAAATTGCAAGTAATGTGATGTTGAAGTCTTTAAACCTAAAACACTAGTTCCCTTTTTCTTTACATTCCTCCTTTGCATTATATGCTGTTTCTCTGACTTTATCTCCTAAATCAATCTCAAATGTTTTGACATGCAAAACACTTTGACCTGGAGCATAGAAGTGCTATCATATGGTAACCAAAAATCTCAGGACCAAAATCTACACTTACCAGTAGTATAAGTCCCACGGACATGAAGATAGCACAGACAAACATCCCACTCATTCCTATTAGAAACAGAGAGCGTCGCCCTGCCTTCTCCACAAGGAATACCTAGGAAGGTTTCAAAACATACTGAATTAAATGGTTTTTATGGCCAAAGAGGTCGTTTTAATTTATACAGCTGGAAACAGGCAGTTCTGTAATCCCATTTTTACAGATGTGGAACTGAGTGGGGGTAGTGACTCTTGCCTGAGGTAGCAGAACTGGTCTCAGTGAGCAGAAGTAATTAACAGATACCAGCTTCACTCAGTCACATTGCTTTCAACAGGCGATTCTGGAGAAAGAGCCATGGCCTTACCATCACTCTACAATTATCACTTGAGTACAGTATTAAGAGGCTGTACCTCTCGGATCTCTTCCAGTAGATTTCTTATACATTTAAAATGACACGGGGCGCCTGGGTGGCGCAGTCGGTTAAGCGTCTGACTTCAGCCAGGTCACGATCTCGCAGTCCGTGAGTTCGAGCCCTGCGTCGGGCTCTGGGCTGATGGCTCAGAGCCTGGAGCCTGTTTCCGATTCTGTGTCTCCCTCTCTCTCTGCCCCTCCCCCGTTCATGCTCTGTCTCTCTCTGTCCCAAAAAAAATAAACGTTGAAAAAAAAATTTTTTTAAAATGACACTACATAAAAAATGACATTAACTTATCTTTTGATAATTATCCTGTTACAAGTACAAGGTTTTGTGCACTGCAGACACCTGAAATCATGTAACTGTTGGGTTGCCAACCATTCTTATCCAACTTTCTCACTGCTTAATAAAGTCAAATTATGGCCATTCATGTGGCAACTCACAGAATTTGATCACTTTACCAATTAGTCAGATCTGCATTTTTCTGGTGTCCCTAAATGTATTTGGTGCTGGAAGTGAATTATCTATTTGAAAAGATAAGACTTCGAAGCAAAAGCTTAAAGTGCTTTCTTATCCTAATTCAGGAGATGTGTCATTGATACCTTTGGGTCTGTGGACCTTTGCAATTAATGGTTAAGATTTACAATTAGCCAAGACCAATATTTGTTAAATAGACTCTTCTTCTTGGAATACTGCCAAGGTTGGTGAATCACACACAAAAAACTATGTCATAATTTCTCACTTCGATGACTAAATTGGCTCGGCTCATAAATCTATCAGGAAATCTATAGCAATCCAATACCCTTGAGCTCTGGCTCTGAAAATACCTGAGAAACATTTGTTTTCACCTATAGCAAAAACCCCTTTCATTTCAGAGGCATTGCATCTTCAGGTTTCAAATCACTTCAGGGTAATGAGCAAAGAGCCCACATTTACTATTGAAAAGGTAATAGGAGAAACAAATCTTTTCCAAGTTCATAACATTTCTCTATGTAATTTGATTCTGTCAGTATAACTTTCCAAGTTGACTTGATGACACCATGTCAAAGCTATCAAGAAAATAGAAGCATTTCTTTAATAATGAGGGCTTTTACTATGTTTCTGCTGTTTCTGAACAATTATTACTAATAGGATAATAAATTCTAAAACCACATGCCTTGGAAACTGAGTTGGACTCATTTCTTGAGGCTAGGTGAGCAGTTGGGGAGGAGTGTGGCCCAGGGTGAGACTTGGTCAGGGGTTAGAGATGTTTGCCTAACCAGAACCCTTGTCTTTGCCCAAGACAATGTGTGTCACACAGGTTCTGGATGCCTCCTTGGAGTTTAGTAGCCACTGCTTCTCCTCTAGATCCATCTGTCTCCCCATTCCCTCCACAATTCTTCCTGTTTTGTTTTCTCTAAACATTATAGGCCCTCTTCTCCCGGCCCATTAGTGTGGAAGAAAATATGGAATGTGGAAGCATAATTCAGCATGGGGTTAGGAAAATCTTTCTTTTCCCAAATACTCATTCAAGAGAAAAAAAATGTTTGATTATGTCCCTTCCAAGTCACTGAAACATTAATATCCTATCAGTGCATATTCCTACGTGCATATCTGTATTTGAAAGGATACACATTGGTTAATTTGGGGGAGAGGAATTGGGTGACTTAGGGACTATCCTTTTTGTACTTCTTCTGCCTTAAAACAACTTTCCAAAAATACATGTAACTAAAAAATTTAGCCCTGGAGGGTTAATTAGGTAGCTGATTAGAGCTTATTTTTAAAATTATGTCACTCATCTGTTCAAAATCTTTCACAGAATAAAAGGATAAACTCTCAGAGGGTATATTCAGAATAGTCAGGATACTTTTCAAGGCAACAAGCAACTCCTCCTATTCCAACTGGATTGGTGGGGAGGGGAGACAAAAATGAAATTCTGCAGTAGTTTCCTTATTAGGCATTTAGAGTTTTGGTTACTCAATTTTGACAACCTGATGCTTTACATAGCAAATCCTGTTACATATAAAATGTTTTAAGCATAATCTCTATATTAAAAAAATATTTTGAAGTGGGGCTTGTAACAAACGTAGCTCAGGAGACAAAAGAATGTGAGTAGTCCCTTGGATCACATCCCAGTAGCAGACCTTCATCGATTTCAAGTGGCCTTTTGGCTTGAACAGGCATTATCATGAAAGGCATGTCTACAGAACTGCTGGTATTCCCTTGTTATCTGTTCTCTTTCCTCTTTCCAAGGTCCAGCACTGTTTAATGTAGTCTGGACAAATCTGTTTTTTGATCTAGGTAACCGGGCTGTAATTTATTGACCATTCTAAGGTAGCAGTTAAAAGTCCATGCGCAGAGAAAGAAAAACAACTGACTAAAGTATATTGAGTACAGACAGCATTGTGACCAACATTGAATAGCATGAACTTTTTGAATATCCTGCATTTGAAGATAAAAATCAGCCCAGTTGTCCTCATCTTAGAATGAATTACATGAGTTGGGAAGTTTGGGGAGTTTTTTGTTGTTTGTTTACGTTAATTCTTCAATTGTTTATGTTAAATATCATTGTCAAGATATTGAATCAGTCCTTATATAAGGTACTTGGTCTTAAGTAGACTATATCACTTTTTCCCCTTGTCAGAAAAAAATAATAATAACATTTCAAAAATAGTAACATTTCAAATTATACCACTTCTACTTCGTCTCTCATAATATCACAGACTTTTATGCATCACCTCATCACCGGAAGTTATGGCCTTGTGAGCTCTCTGGAAACTCTGCCCAATAGCCAAATATTGTAGGAATTTGCTGAGGCTGTTTAATTCTGTTACAGACAGATATATCTATTGCAGAAGACCTTTTTTTTTTTTTTTCTTTTTAAGTATTTTCCCCAGGGCATCAGGATAAAAAAAAGAATTTCAACCACGGAAAGAGAGGAGCCCAGGTAAAAGACCCGATATTGATAGAAATGACAGACTGTCACCAATCCCAATAGATTTAAGTACAGAGCAAAGGAGGACTCCAGGTGTTTTTACAAGGAGGAAGTCCTCTGTGTTCCAAGTGAGTTATTAATTCACAAATGAGTGACTAACTGGCATCCCTACTCTGGGGATAACCAGTGATCCACCTGCTCGGTTATACTTGGTGGTTCATTATTTGCAGAAAGGACTCTTCTTGTGACTCACTTGGTTCTCTGCATCTATAGAACAATAAGTGATTGGTCACTTTTGGATTACAAGGTTCTCCCCTCTCCCATTTCTGTACTGAGAAACAAGCAGCATACTTATCTAGGGTATGAACTCACAGAGATAGCAGTGAAAACCATGTTGACGGCACCAACTCCAATGGTTGCATAAACAGGTTGGCTGATTCCAGCAGTCTGAAAAATGCTGGTTGAGTAGTAAAATATCTGTAAAGTAATAACAGTTTAGCCTTAATCAAGAATCCTGGCACTAATGGCTTGAAAGCAAGAAATATTTTAAGTTGTTTAGTTTTAGTTGTTTCTATGGAACCATGTTCCCTACAATCTAAAGATTTTGTCTGTCCTCTCCTTCCGGGCGATGAGAAACCACTATCAATCTTTAGTATTTAAAACTCCTGATTGCTTAAAGTTCTCTTTAAATTTAGCTGAAAACTCTGAATTTGCATTTTCTTTTTATATGTACTTAAAATTTTAAACTTTGTGTTAAGGTATAAAATACATACAAAAAATGTACACATAGCATAAGTATACAGATCAATTAATTTTCACAAACTGAACACACCTGTGTAAGCAGCACACAGATAAAGATATAAATCATGTCTAGTCCTCCAGAAGCTCCCAGAATGTCCCCCTATTCTCCCAAGGAAATGCTTCAACTTCTAACAGCATGATAAATTCCACCTAGTCTTGTACTTGCCATAACTGGAATCATACTGTGTGAATTACTTGTTATCTGGCTTCAACATTACCTTTGTGAGGATCATCCATATGTGCTTGTACAGTGTTGATTATCATTGCTTAGTACTTTGTTGTATTAATATACCACTATTTATTACCCAATCTACTACTGATGGGTATTTAGGTAGTTGTCATTGGCGATTGCGAAGGGTGCTGTTGTGAACGTTCTAGTATAATCCTTTTGGTGAAAGACGTACATATTTATGCCTGGGGATAGAATTGCTGGACCATAGTGTATGCATGTGCTCACCTTTACAGATACTGGCAAACAATTTTCCAACTGACACTCTCACCCATGTGTGTAAGAATTCTGGTTGCTACCACGTTTAATCCAACATTTTTCACTAATCCTCAGTGGACATGGAGAAATCTTCACAATCTCTCTAATAGCCTTTCTTACTAATTATGTTTTTATGTTTATAGTGGTCTTGTTTAGGCCATTCTGTCATTCTGTCATCCTCTCTCACTGCTTCCCCGGTTAACCTGTCCTGCTGGCTGGCACCTCTTCCTGCGGGTGGGGTGGATAGAGGAGAACTGTACCCACTGTGTTCAGTGAGGAGCGGCTTACAGCACACTAGACACTATCCCACATTTGTAGGCTGCCCAACAGCTTCGGCTCACATTTCCTGGATGCCTCTAAGTCAGGCATGGGGATAGTAACTAAAGCAGGAAGGTTTGGAGAAATGAAGTATTGCGCCTCTGGATATATACAGGCAGAACTGAGAGAAAGCCTACAAAATTGGTCTCCAAACCCCAAAGGTTTATAGAGTATTAGATTAAAATGAACATCACTGACTCCTTAAAGGAGAACAGAGATGACAGAAGAGCAGTATTCAGCTTGTTGAGTGAAGTTCAGGCCTCCTTTTCTTCAACTGATGAGAATTACTATCTTTCCTTCTTCCAAGGCTCTGCCCATCCATCAGTCACCCTCAAAGTGTCCCCTGTGGATCTGTGATTGGCTCATTAAAGAGGAAACCCAAACAGCATTTTTAAAAGCAATAAAAGGGGTAAGTGATTTTTTGTATCTCGTTTTTTTAACAAATGCTTAATTATTTTCTTCTAGTAGTTAATTGCCAGTAGAATAATTTTAGTTTGCATAATGCAATGATTTCAGTTCAAAACCTAAAAGCTAGCTAGTTTAATATTCAGTATGTTTTTCAATCATGTCTTATCTACTACCCTCACTCACCCATATCATATCAGTTCACTCTATTGTTTATTTTGTATGCTGTCTCCATAAATAGAGTGAAAGTTTCTTGGATGGCAGGAAATTTCTTTGCACCTGGCTACCTGGTATACTTCATTTAAATAGATAAAGGGAACCACAGGCTCCTCTTTCCTAAGCCATCAGAAATCCTAAATTTGGTTCTCAAGTCTAGAAGCCCCTTGTAATTCAGGTGGGTTTTTTTTTTTCACAGTTATTCTCCTTTTCCTTCTTTTGTATTAAATGTGAATTTTGCCTTTAACCTTCCATCTTAGTGGACACACAGAACCAGTGATTGTCGTTGACGTTTAAAAAAATTCTATGCCAATTTTAGAAAGTAGACGAAGCGAAACAAAGAAAATTAATGCTCACTCATTATATGTTTATTGTAGTGAAATGTGATGTCAACATTTTAAAATGTCTTTTAGCTATTTAAATTTACATCCTTTTCTTTCCCTATTTCATTCAATTTGCTTTTAGAGTTAGGGGGTATTCTTAAACTTACCGCATTGATTCCAGAAAATTGCTGGGCCATATGCAGCATCAATGCCACTATAATAGACTGTCGGTAGCTGGAATTGGTGAAGAGCTGAATTATGGAGACTTTTTGTTCACTTGATGCTTCTTCCTTTTCTTTTCTCATCTCAGTGATGTCTTTGGTGACATCATCACTTCCTCTGAGTCTTTTCAAGCCTGTCCCCCAAAATGATCAGGTTGACACAACTCAGGTCAAAACAAAAGTAAATTTACTTTTATTATGTTTTTGAAAGAGTTACAGATCTGCATAGCTCTTTCTATTGCTTTACAGCATGGGTGTTGGACATTCTTTTTGTTAAATTAAATCCTGTTTTAAAATTTTTAAAAGCACATTTGGTTTCATCTAATGACAAAGAAAACTATGATCTTTATTATCATAGAAGCGTAATGCAAGTAAAGGTCTTTTAGAAACCTCTGGTTAAGTCCAATACCCTGCATGTGGGTTTCCCATTTGGGCTCGAGTGTTTATGGGTTTGAAATGGCATGCATGAGTCATATTGAGGTGATCTTTCACATTGTTCTTACATGTAATCACTGACTTCATTTGGAAAGCTCTGGTACCAATTTGATCAGTAAACATTCATGCTCACTGCTTTTCATTATCTGCTAGTTCCAAAACAATAGGAAGGGGGAAAAAAACCCACCCACAGACTTACTTTTCTTTGCTTTGACTTCCTCATCCAACTTGATGTAAAGGTATCTGGGGCTTTCAGGACAGAAGAGGAGCAGCAGAGACTGGAGGATGGCTGGCAGAGCAGACAAACCAAGCAGGATATGCCACTGCTCATGACTGCCCAAGATGAAGTTCAGGCCGACAATCTGAAGAGGCAGGGAGGAAACATAGCAGGTGCACAACATGTTGGGTCTGCTTTCTGCAACTATTTGTTGAAAAAGCACATTGACTGTTTAATAGTATTCCCTGGTGGGGAACCTGGGTGGCTCAGTTCGTCAAGCGTCTGACTTGGGCTCAGGTCACGATCTCATGGTTTGTGGGTTCGAGGCCGTGTCGGGCTCTGTGCTGACAGCTCAGAGCCTGGAGCCTGCTTCGGATTCTGTGTTTCCCTCTCTCTCTGCCCCTTCCCCACTTGTGCTCCCTCTCTATCTCTCTCTAAAACAGATAAATAAACCTACAAAAATAGTATTCCCTGACAACTTGGATTCAAGTATGCTCAAACAGAAACTATTAATATTGTGTCCTACCTTAACTGAATTAGAGACTATTTGTTTTACAAAGAGTTCACTTAGGTTTGTTTTCATTAACTCATATGGGCCATTTAGGATGGGAAACAACCAAACTTTTAAGAACACATTTGACATCTAAAGCAACACCAAAAATCATGTGTAAACTTTGGACATTAAAAAATTTCTTCTTAGAGTACCCAGAACTTAAATAAAATGGTATTCCATAGATAGAACAATTATTATAATGGGAACCCATTTTGTCATTCTTATTGCAGTGGTTTACCCCCTGGATAGTCGTAGGCTAGGGGCTCTGAAGACTCTGAGGTCCATGGGATAGAAGGGAAGGATAGAGCTGGCTGAACGAAAAACTGCTATGATAATCATATACATATTAATTTTCCAGGTAAAATGCTCAAAACAAAGGAAACCCAAGCAGTAAAAAAATGTGAAGTTTCCTATTCTTTGAAATCTAAACAGAATAATTTAATTCTACAATAGCTCCAGAAGTTCAAGATCTGGCATGCTGGGTCATCTCTAGTGCCAATCCTACCAGAGATCCAAGGGGAGAATTGAGGAGTGGTGTACTAATCATTTAGCTTTGACATAAAAAGCTTAAGTCTCTACAGCATCTCTACTCCCGCTGGTGGAACTGGTTTTTTCCTTTGTGTTGGTCTACAGTGAGAGTGGACTGTCAGGGAGGGAGAAGTTGGATAGAGGATGGGTGAAGTAGGGGATCCAGTTTTTACCTGACTAATGAGAATGCCTGTGACAATGGCCAGCTGGTGAAGTGTGCCAAGGGCGCCCCTGAGTGTGGTCGGAGCAATTTCACCAATGTACATTGGAACCAAGCCTGAAATTAGCCCTGCATAAAACATGAACATAAATGTGAATGCAAGTGCAGCTGGGACTATCTCAATAACAGTAATTTGGTTTAAGTATGGTCAGTATCCTGACTAAAAGTCCCTTTCAGAGTCTGTTGGAAGGAAGAGCCCTCGTCCCCAGTCTTAGACACAGTTGATGCAAAAAATATTTGTTGAGAAGACTCCAGATGAAGTTGTAGTTGAATATAGGAATGGAAGGAACTGATGAGTCGTGGATTTGGCAATCACTCATAGCACTGCCTTATTTAGTTAAAACCATGTTAAAATGGACTGTACATCATAAGGCCTTAAGTTGTCTTCAGAAAAGAGACGAAAAAATGCTTTAATAATATTCTGAATCCAAACTCCTGGTGCGAAAGGAAATGAGCACATATGTAGGCCAACCTTTTCACTTCAAAAAGAGTTTACCTGGGATCACAGTGCAACAGAGCATTATCATGAGAACTACAAGCCCTGAGTGTCCACAACGTGCAAGTGCCTCAAGATCACTGTTAAAGTGATGAGCAGGGGTGTGGAGAGGTGGGAGAGGTTAAGGGGTTCAGGGGCTCTTCCTCCATTTTTCCAATCAGAGCAACCCATCTTCTTTATTCTCTCCCAAAATGGGCTTCAGAAAAGATTTTGGTGCTTAAAGGAATACAAAAAATTTGAAAAGCACTAGGCAATTCTGGCTTCTATAGCTTTCTTAAATGCAGATGTCATTGGCCATGTTGCAGTAGCTGCCAGAGTATCCAGCCATTTGCTGAGTGCACAGGAAGGTCAGACACTATTAATAAGCAAGGCTGAATGAGATGTTTGGCATTTTCTTAAGAATTTAAAAATAATATTTGTTAGTCTTCCTCTTAGAGAGATTGTCTATAAAATGGAAATGTATGGTTTTTTTGTAAAAGATGCATTTGGAAACTTTTGATATTTCTTTTAGTGCTTTAAATCGTTCTAAGGTCTCACATGAACAGTTGCATGATTGAAATGGCATCTAAATTTTGGATGACATTTACATGTGACTCTATTGTGTGGTCTGTTGATCTTAAATAAGAAGAAAACCTTTTTTTTTTTTTTTTTGGCTCTATTCCAGGCTGTACTCTCTGTGTAATACTTACCTTTATATCTCAAGAACATAATAATGTAGATAAGCTCACAGGCCTGAAGTGACACAAATTTAAAGTCCAAATGTATTTCCTATTATTTTTAGCAATTTTAATGCTCAGAACAGGACCAGGAATAATTTTAAAAGCTAGTTGGGGAGTACAAGTTACTTGGCTGTGCTAGTGTCCACAATGTTGACAGCATTTCTTTTCAATTTTGCCGAAATATTTGTGATTTTTTTCCTACTGTATGTTAAAAATTGGAGAGAGAAGAAAGAAGAATCATGATTTGGGCCTCCTCAATAGTGTTATTATTTGCATTTTACAGAAGGTTCAGTTAATATATCTAAGGCCAGGCTGAGATAGTGCCAGAATTGATACATGCTGAATCTAAATCTTGCCACATGTGGGTTGACTCTTCACCTTGATAAAGCTATCTTAACTTTTAGCTATTTATATTAACATTGAAAATAACAAAAAAATACTTTTAATTAAGTTATTAACTTATGGATATTTTAGACTTTTGTTTTACCTGATCATTGAAGACACATGAAACTATATAGTCTTTTCTCTTTCGAAGTAAATGTAAACATTTTATACATCATTTTGTGCACTTGCACGTCCCCTCCTCCCACGCCCCCAGCCCCAGTGAATATTAGTGCTTTGAAAGGCAGCTATGATTTGGGACAATGTAAAACCTTGGCTCCAAACCACCAGAATCAGGGCTTCACTTGCACTGAGAAGCTAAAGATTTGGCTATTGTAGAGATTAAGTGATCCTCCCTTTGTTCACACCCCTGCTGGTTAAATTTGCTTCTGAAAGTTTGAAACCTCTAAAAGTTTGAAAAGCTGTTTCCCAGAACTAGTCATTCCAGATATTCAGATGTGAGGCTCACAGGGGGAGCATCCTTCATCCATTGTGAACTCTTCAATCATCTGCTGCTGTGTGACTCCCTCTCCTTATGGTCACCGTCACTGTAATGCTTCACCCAACCATGTCTGGAATCCAATGGCTAGGGAATGTGGTCTGAGAGATGGACCCGAGTGTCAAGGTCTTTCCAGAAAGGAGAGACAGAGACATAAGTGGCCAAATAGGCCCGAAGAGCTGAGTTGGGGGTTGCGGGTGTAGAAGCATGCTACTGTCTCCCGCACAACAGAAGCGATAACGACAGCTAGCTTTTCTTGGCAGCTTGCTGTAGTCAGATCCTATGCTGAACATTTACATGTATTCTCACAAGTGCCTTACATGGTAGATATTATCTCCTTCGTTTAACAGATAATGAAACTAAGAGTTAAATAATTTATCTGAGATGATACCACTAGAAACTGCCATGAGCAAGAAGATAGCTTCACAACTCCCACTTACTGGTCCCAAACCTGCTTGACTCTGGACTTCAATTTCATGCTATTGCCTTTCCCTTTTGTGACGCCACCTTAGGCTCAAAAACTTCCCTGCATGTTACCACATCTGCCATTAGAATTTTTCAGACAGATGTGTGTGTGTGTGTGTGTGTGTGTGCGCGCGAGCACATGCACATGTATGACTTACCACAATAGAGTCCTGATATGCTTCTTCCTGAAATTATAAGAATGTGAGATGGTCCCAGTTTGGAAAACCCCATCAAGAGAGCTCCAGCTAATGAGAGAACATTTGCTACCAACATGGCTTTGATTCTGAAATTTTAAAAAGCAAGGATTATAAGTTCAGCATCAAAACTTGATAAAATTATTTGCCCTCAGAGTATGCTAAGGTATTTACCTAAGAGCAGTTATTTTAATTTTGCTGAAACAGCTAGTTGGGGATCTTAAACCATGACTGCTAGTTTGATTTATCTGTTGTCTAAAGCATTAACGATTAATGTTTATAATGAGAAAATCTGAGTTTCATGCACATGATCTCCACATTTTAATAGAGATGATTCAATTGTGGTGATGACTGATTTGCTTTAAGATAATACTTCTGAAACTTTTTCAAACAATTAATGAATTAAGTTTTCTTCAAGAGGGCACCTGGCTGGCTCAGTTGGTAGAACATGTGACTCTTGATCTCAGGGTGAGGAGTTCAAGCCCTACATTGGGGGTGGAGCTTACTTTAAAAAAAAAGAATACAGATACAATTAAAAATAAAAATAAATAATTAAGTTTTCTTCAAGTTGATTGCTGTAAGGAATAATTGCCTGTTGATAGCTATATTCAACACTGTAGTTGTAACTTATGACTTTCTTTCTTTCTTTCTCTTTCTTTCTCTTTCTTTCTTTCTTTCTTTCTTTCTTTCTTTCTTTCTTCTTTCTTTCCTCTCTCTCCCTTCCTTCCTTCCTTCCTTCCACCCTTCCTTCCTTCCTTCCTTCCTTCCTTTCTTTCTTAATGGTGCACATTTTTAGTTGATGTAGGTCATGTAAGGAACTTTCAGAGTTAAATTTCCTTTAACATGAATTACTTGGAAATAAATTAAAATATACTTTGACTTTAAGCCTTATCAAAGAGAATTATAATTATTCTTATTTTGACATAGTATGTCATATTTCCAGAATCAATGAATTAGTGTCAACCAATGTAAAACATGTAATCAAGTTGACAATAGTAACAAAAATATCATTTTCAAAATTAATCATATGAAAATTAACATTTGCAGACATCTGATACTTTTACTCCCATTAAATGGAAAATTGGGGCACGAAAACCTTCTTTAAAGTTCAGTAGATGATGATAAGGACAATAAAAGAATCTAAATGGGTAGGTGTGGAAATATTTGTGCCACAAACAAATGTCAGCACCTTGTTATATTCTATGTCAATGTTTCAAATTTGAATAGGTGAGCTTTTTCTAAGCAAGTATCTTTAATGCCAAGGAGATTTTTTTTTTTTCTGGAGAGTAAAACTATGTAGTCTTATTCTTCAGTGAGTGCCCACAACTATAGGCTTAATAATATCCTCCAAGAGTCCACATCCTGATCTTCAGAACCTGGCAATACGTTACCTTATATAATAAAAGGGATTTTGCAGGCATGATTAAATCGAGGACACTGAGATAAAGAGATTACCTTGGATTATTCTGGTGGACCCAGTGATAGAATCACTAGTATTCTTATAAGAGGACAGCAGAGGAGAAGATAATGTGATGACAGAAGTAAGATTGGAGTAATGTGCTTTGAAGATTGAGTGAGGGGCCACAAACCAAGCAATATAGGTGACCACTGGAAGCTGGAAAAGGGCATGGAAATGAGTTTTTCCCTCAGAACATCTAGAAGGAACCAGCCCTAAAGGCATCAAAATTGGCAAAGATGAAGTCAAGCTTTCACTTTTTGCAGATGACATGATATTATACATGGAAAATCTGATAGACTCCACCAAAAGCCTAGAACTGATATACAGCATACAACAGCAAAGTTGCAGGATACAAATCAATAGCTAGAACTAAGCTGTTGCATTCTTATATCAACACCAATAATGAAGCTAAACAGAAAGAAAATAAAGAAACTGATCCCATCTCTTAGTGCTAATTCTAAGAAGCATAAAAATACCTAGAATAAATCTAACCAAAGATGTACAAGATCTGTAAATGCGAAAAACACCTAGGAAAGCTATGGAAAGGATAGCGTAGTATAGAAATGAAAAAATGACATCCCTGCTCATGGAAGAATATACAGATATTTTAAAACGCGATCCTCAATACAATTACAAAGCTGATATTGGCTAACACATTCAATGCAATCCCAATCAATGCAGTGATTCCAGCATGTTCTGAAGTAAGTCAATGCAACTCCTAAGGCAGATTGGATCCACAAAAAAAAAGGCCCCAAATAAGCAAACGTATACTTTTAAAGAAGAAGACCAAGCAGTAGGCATCACAATCCCAGACTTAGCCTCTACTCAAGCTTGTAATCATAAGACAACAATGTACAAAACAGAACATAGACCAATGAATAGAATAGAAAACCCCCAAAGCTAGACCCACAAATGTATGGCACTAATCTGACAAAGTCAGGAAGAGTTCAATGGAAAAAGTCTCTTTTACCAAATGGTGCTGGGAGAACTGGACAACAACATGCTAGAAAGAATGAAAACTAGACCACTTTCTTATACCATTCACAAAAATAAACTCAAAAATGAAAGGACCTGAATGTAGGACATAGGAAACCATCAAAAACAGAGGAGAAAGCAGAAAAAAGACCTCTCTGACCTTAGATTCACAGCAATTTCTTACTTGACACATCCCCAAGCAAGCAAGCAAATTAAAAGCAAAAATGAACTATTGGGACCTCATCAGAAAAACATGTTCTGCACAGCAAGGAAACAATCAACAAAACTAAAAGGCAACTAAGGAATGGGAAAAGATATTTGCAAATGACATATCGGACAAGAGGCTAGTAACTCAAAATCTATATAAAGAACTCACAAACTCCAATATCGGTGAAAACAAATAATCGAAAGTGAAGAAATGGGCAGAAAACATCGAATAGACACTTTCTAAAAGACATCCGGATGGCCTAACAGGCAACGAAAAGATGCTCAACATCGCTCCTCATCAGGAAGAAATACTAAATCAAACCACACTGACATCATATCTCATGCCAGAGTGGCCAAAGAATAGCGAACCTAAGGAGACTATAGATGCTGGAGAGAAATGTGAGGAAATAGTTTCCCTCTTGCAGGTTGGTGGATGGAATGCAAACTAGTTGCAGTCCTGGAAACAGTGTGGAGGTTCTCTCCTAAAAATTAAAAATAGATCTCATACCCATGACAGTAGCACTGCAGAGATTTACCCAAGGATAAGGTAAGTACTGATGATAGGGGCACTTTCTACCAATGTTTATAGCAGCACTCTCAAATACAAATGATGTGGAAAAAGCCAATGTCCATCAACATAATGGATAAAGAAATTGTGGTTATATAATAAATGGGAGTACATCACGGGCAATGAGAAGAAAGAATGAAATATGGCCTTTTGGCACACGTGGATGGAACTGCAGAGTGTTGCTAAGAAATAAGTTACCATACAGAGAAAGACAGACAATTACCATATCACTTTTCTGATGGATCCTGAGAAACTTAACAGAAACCCATGGAGGGAAGGAGAAAAAAAAAGAGTGGAAGTGAGAGAGAGAGCCAAAGTATAAGAGACCTCCCACTTCACGAGAACAAACTGAGGGCGTGATGGGGGGTGGAGGAGGAGAGATAGTGATGGGCATTGAGGAGGGCACCTTTTGGGATGAGCACTGGGTGTTGTATGGAAACTAATTTGACAATAAATTTCATATATTAAAAAAAAACTTAATAAAAAATAAAAAGTAAATTAAAAAAAAAATAGAAGGAACCAGCACTGCTGACACCTTGGCTTCAGCTAAATGAAACTGAATTTGGGCTTCTAACCTCCAAAACTGTAAGAAAATTAATTTGTGTTGTTTTCAGCCACTGTTTAGGGTAACTCATTAGAGCAGTAATAGAAAAACAATATATGTGAATTGTCAACTACTCAAAGGGAAGGAAAACAGTGATTTAGAGCTGACCAACTTCAGAGCTGCAGAGCAGAACAAGACAGGGATATTTCTCTGTGAAGTGCCTTTTCTTTACACAAGGACAGAAGACAAACAGATTCAATAATTGACCTTAAGAAAATTGTTATTAGCTGGCTAGTCGTATATTCTATTAGGGAGAATATTCTATTAGGCAGAAAAATTCTTAAATTTTTTTTTTCAACGTTTATTTATTTTATTTTTGGGACAGAGAGAGACAGAGCATGAACGGGGGAGGGGCAGAGAGAGAGGGAGACACAGAATCGGAAACAGGCTCCAGGCTCCGAGCCATCAGCCCAGAGCCCGACGCGGGGTTCGAACTCACGGACCGCGAGATCGTGACCTGGCTGAAGTCGGCCGCTTAACCGACTGCGCCACCCAGGCGCCCCGAAAAATTCTTAAAAGAGATAGCCTGAAAGTACTTTTGGTGCCAGATTGCTCTTAAGTCCCTCTTCCTTAACCACCAAGGGATGCTAGAGCACTTTGTACAACTTAGAGGATTTTAACTTCTGCTCAGACAGGAGAAATGGCCAAGAATGAATAATCTAAAAATACATGACATTGTTGAATCAGGGAGAAAGAAATATATTTCTAACTATATTTCTTTAAATTTTGCTCTAAATATTCCTGTTAGCGTAGGCGTTATCACTGTCATCCTGTCATCATCGATATCTTCATCATCATCATCATCATCACCATCGGCATCACAGTAAGGCTACATTCAGGGCTTGCTTACTATGTGTTGGGCATTGTGATAAACCTCTGTGTATGTTCTCATGTAATCCTCGTAATGATGCTACGAGTGAGGTATTATTTTTTTCTTACATTGTAGATGGAGGAGGAAACATCTTAGAAGACCTAAGTAACTCGTTCATTTTCACACAACTATTAAGTGACAGAGCTGGGAGTTGATCTGTGTGAAATGAGAGGTTAATGTTTGGTTTTAGTGAGTTCCATTGTTTATATAAAAGAAAGAGTGTATTCAAATGCAAGGTATGTACACCTTATGTACAACTACTTATGGTAGCATGGATTGATTGCACAGATCATGGTCTCCTCCACCATATCCTTGTAATTAAATTTTCAGAACACAGCCTCTGGAAAAATTGACCCTGAGAAGCCAAATCTATAAAACAGTGGCCACAGACATTTATTACCTTTTTCACAATTACAAGGAAAGAGTTTTTAAAACAGTAATAGAAATACACATTTTTATTTATTTATTTTTAACTGATGGAGCAACGACCTGGTCAATAAGGAAAATCATGGCATTTATCAGTGACTCTTCTAGAAAAATAGTTTTATAGGAGAGACTGAACCCTTTTGTCTTAATTTTGATGTTAAAATTATTAATTTGTGGCTGTTTTCATGGAGAATCATTTTTCTACTGAGAGCTGGAAGAAGCATCACTTTTAGTTTGCCATAAGTCATTTGATAAATAATCATTTGACATGGTTTTGGGGTATGATCATTGTTGATGCTAAATTCTAAGACTTGAGAGGGCATGCATCTGTTTCCTTCAGTAGGACCTGAAATAAATGTTTTAGAGTATGTCACTGGACCTGTCAGAATCTCATCTCTAAATGAGATGACAATAAGGACTTAAATTCTCTTTCTTTTCTTTCTTTCTTTCTTTCTTTCTTTCTTTCTTTCTTTCTGTAAGCTTCATGCCCAACTTGGGGCTTGAACTCATGACCCTAAGATCAAGAGTCACAGGCTCCACCAACTGAGCCAGCCAAGTGCCCCTTAAATTTTTTCTTTAAGAATGGGAAAAGGTAGAAAATATCAGTAGCTGGTGAAATAATTGTTTGGTTCATATTATAAAATTTAACTTTGGGTAATTTTATTTATTTTAGAAATAATCTAGAAAAATTTCCAATTACTGCTTAAACCAATTTGGTTCAAATTCAAATTATTTAATTTTTTAAACAATTTAAGTCAGTTTATGAACCCTGTAACTTATGGATTCTAAGTTCAGCTAAACACGTGTAAACTGAGAAAAATGTGAGAAACTGACTCTTTTATGGTAGAGGAATGTCCCTTTCAAATAAGAACAAGAATAAAACTTAGGTTATTAGGCTATTCAGTATTTAAGAAAACTTCTTACAGTCTTGTTATATAAAATCTCCAGTGCAAGAGGAAGAAATTTTCAGTACTTTAATAACCAGAGAGATAAAATTATAATTTAAAGTAGGAATTTAAAAAACTAAATTAATTTTAATCCAGAATTACTAAAATAGATGCCTATATCATTTACATCTTTAAAGATTTTTGCATTTTCTAAATTGTCCATATTTGCATATTTATTTTTATCATCAGAAAAAATATAATTAGGGGCGCCTGGGTGGCGCAGTCGGTTAAGCGACCGACTT